TGGAGAAAAGTTTTTGCTCTCATGCATTTCTTTTTTTAATTTTCCCTATCTCATCCTCTAGAATTTTCTTTAGAGCTCCTTACGCCTTCTCTACATTTTGAAACCTTGAATTGAGTATAGAACGTACCTTGATTTTCTTGAAATTCCTCATTCAAGGCATCTCTTGCTTCATTTGCTTCCTTAGAATCGGCCCGTACACCCAAGGTTGATTGTTACGGCACGAATAGAGATTAGAGTCTGCCCTTACGCCCAAAGAGATCAAACTAGCTCTGATGTCTAATGCAATCAAACTAGCTTTAATACCATTTGTTGGAATTTAGAAGTGAGTGTTGCATGATGGATACCGTTGTTAGTTTATAGGGAGAATGGGTGTAAGACAAGATGGGATAATAGTTGAAATAAAGTGATTTTATAACATTGGAGGAGAATAGTACATAACTTGGTGTAGGCTAATTGACCTACTTCAACTAGAAAGCATTTAGTGTTCAGGCTTAAAGGCTTGTTGACCTTCTTTCTCTCTTAGCTTGGTGAATTTATTGGCTCCTCAACATAGCTTAGTTTGGGAAGCTTGTTTTGCTCCCTCAGTTGGGAGTTCTCTTGGTTAACTCCTACCACCTTTAGTTGAATACATGCATGCGTATTTATAGGCAAGGTGTTGCCGTCATTGCCCAAGTCCCACCGACTTGGTCAATCTCTCTCCTAGTCACATATTTTATTTCTCTAGACTTTTCTAGCTATTTAAGATAGTTGTTATAAGTTATTTCTAGTATTTTACAATAATTATGTCATGCAACATTGAGCTTGCCGACTTTGCATAGTCGGTGAAGTCTTCTTCTTGAATTCTCTTGATTCTTCTTAAATTATTAAGCATAAATGTGCATTATTTTCAACACTACAAGTAGCACCAAACCAGCCAGGTTGCATTGCAGACCCGACCTCTTCTCTGTTGATGTCCTGAGTGATTTTTCCAAAATGAGTTATGTTGTGGGCTTTGGTAGCCATTATCCGAAACAAGTGCACCACAGAGGGGAGGGGGGGCAGGGTCACTCCAGGCCTAGGAGTGGCTCTACCGCTAGTGGTTGGTGTTTGGTTGGATATGTTTTATCTCCACAGTACCTAGGAGTGATTGCCACTGGTGGTTGGTGTTTGGTTGGATATGTTTTATCTCCACAGTACATTTTGAATATGTACAAAGTGTTATGATGCTTTTAGATCATAAGATGCCTTCTTTGACAGTATTAGCGGAGTGTTGGGATTTGTTTTCAGGGTTTGTAGGTGGGTTTTATGTTCTATCTGTTTCACATAAGATGTTTGTTTTACAATAATTATGTCACGCAACATTGAGCTTGCCGACTTTGCATAGTCGGTGAAGTCTTCTTCTAGGATTTTTCCAAAATGAGTTATGTTGTGGGCTTTGGTAGCCATTATCCGAAACAAGTGCACCACAGAGGGGAGGGGGGGCAGGGTCACTCCAGGCCTAGGAGTGGCTCTACCGCTAGTGGTTGGTGTTTGGTTGGATATGTTTTATCTCCACAGTACCTAGGAGTGATTGCCACTGGTGGTTGGTGTTTGGTTGGATATGTTTTATCTCCACAGTACATTTTGAATATGTACAAAGTGTTATGATGCTTTTAGATCATAATATGCCTTCTTTGATAGTATTAGCGGAGTGTTGGGATTTGTTTTCAGGGTTTGTAGGTGGGTTCTATGTTCTGTCTGTTTCACATAAGATGTTTGTTTTATCTGTTTAGTCATTAGCATGCATGGGTGGTACTCTTTCCTACTTAGGGTATTCTTTTCTCCCGGTAGATTTTAACGAGGCTGCATTTTATCATGCTAGTTTCTTCTCATGTATTGTTTCTTATGCGTTTAATGAAATATCATCTTTCCTTTAAAAAAAACAAAAAACAACAACAAAACCCTCAAGCATGCAAGTAACGACGAGGATAAATTTGGTGAGCTCGAAACGAGTAATTTTCTTTTTGGTTAATTATAGTGTTGGACTTGGAAATGAGATGGGTAAATAATAATAATACATTTTGAATATATATATATATATATTTAGGGATTTTTATTAAAATGTCACCTGAACTTATACTTTAGTTTCAATTTGTCACCTTAAAGAAAAATTTAAGAGAAATGTCACTTTAATTTTTTAATATCTATTATTTGTCATCTGACCTTTTTCACTATCCAATTTTTCATCTATTTTAAAAATTATTACCAACACACCCCTCCCGTCAACACTTTTCTCTCTCTCTCTCTCTCTCTCTCTCTCTCTCTCTCTCTCTCCATCCACGAATTTTCAATATGCAAATGGAAAAATACCAAATAGAAAAAAGAAGAAGAAAAATGGGGACTCTGTTTGGGTGGGCTAAGGGAATTTGTGTGTGGAGGAGGGCAGGCGTTCCATGGTAGAGAGGAGGAAGGGGAAGAGGGAAGGGGGAATTGAGGAAGGAGTTGTGAAGAGGGAAGGGGAAATGGATTTCAAGGTGGGCAGGGTTGGTCGGAGCCACTGGTGGCACACATGGGATGGGAGAAGGTGAGATTTTTTCATTTTTAAAATACTCTTGAAAATGGAAAGACTGAAATACCATTTAAAATGGATGGAAAATTAGATTGTGTTAAAGTCAGATGACAAATCATGGATTTTGAAAAATTAAGGTTACATTTTTCTTAAATTTTTCTTTAAAACAACAAATTGAAACTGAGGTATAAGTTCATGTGACATTTTTATAAAAAAAAAATTCCTTTTTTTATAATGAATTTATAGTCTTCACTGTTGGAGACATGTCGCAACATGCAAAACTCGGTGTTTTGTTCCAGCATTATACTAATGATTCAATATAGTTCTGTAAACAATCATTCCGCGTAAAATTCGTTCTAATAAATCCAAGATGAGTCTATAATTCCAGCTATTTTCATATTCCCTTTGAGATGTTCCCCACACGGACACGGCTAATCTAATCCCAAGCTTCTAATGATCAGGCCGTAACATTTTTATTAATTTTTTCAATAGATTATAATTATATAATCATTCCTCGAGGCTTGCTCCCTCTAATCCCATTATTATTCCCTTGCATGATTTTGGTGCATCGATCCACCCACAAAATCGGGGTCAAAACCCTAGGCCCCAACTCAGAAGCACATATCAATTTCGCATGCTCAAAGCCTATAGATCTTGCCAATCCCAAGCAAATATGGACATGCAGGAAGACAAAATATACCCTCCAGTATTGTAGTCTAGCATAGTCTAGCAAATTGCCAACGAGTGATCCTTTAACTTCCCACTTGCTGTACACATGTGGGAACAAAATTTGGACATTAGAATCCTCTTCCCGATTGGATGTTTCTATTTATATATATGTCTAAAAATTGCGATCCATAATCTGTACTATATATATGCTGGACCTGGAATTGGTAACATTTTCATTTTCATTTTTAAATTTGATCAATTCATGGTTAATGATGCAAGTTTTACGCATAATTTTTATCGGCTTAGACCTACACTGTTGATCGCCTGACAGCTAACATTTGAAACTCAAAGGCCGATCGAGGGTATGACCCATTATAATTTGTTTATCTCGCCCGGCTTAATAAGAAAACCAATGTGATAGTACATTGATCAGCAGCATAAGTAACATTAGAGGAGAAGATTAGAACACTAGTTCATTGATAGTTTCGTGGCACTAGACCCATATAGGGGAATAGCTGGGAGCCAGGACAGAGAAAGAAAGGGGTGGGCAGAAGGTGCAGCAAAGATGCAATATGTATATCAATTTACATCAATCTTGCTCACTGCTTTGGCTCCAGTTCTGAATAGCTTGCAAGACTGCTTGTTTCACCACGTGAGCATCTATACTATCCGCTTGCCCCTGGTTCTGGAAAATCAACAAACAAAAATAATTATAGGCATGAAGAAGCATAAATTCACGCGAAGTTAAAATGTGTGACAAGAAAGCATGCCAATAGCAATATAATATAATTGATTATGTTATAAGTGATATAAAAACCGTGAAAATACAAAATTGGATTGAAGAGAGGTACAATTATGATGCCAATCACTCATTATATTGTGTCAGTGTACTCGCAATAAGCAAAACAAAGGTGTGGTTAAGACAATATATGTTTGTACGATTCACACGTGATGTTAATTTGTACAAAAAAAAAGACCCATATCTATATATGCATGTTTATACACGCTGCACGCAAACAATATATTCCCAATGTGTCAAGTACAAAGGGGCCAGAATGAAAGAAATTAAATATATGATATAATTAATCTCTTACTTCTCCTCCGACTGCTTCTAATTGGAAGGTGTCCGAACAAGAAACCCTAGCATCAAGAACATCGAGGCCCAGCTCCTCAAAGGCTTCGAGAATAGAGACGAGCAAACCCGGGGAGTTCTTGTCCGACAACACATTAATAAGGAAACCCCTTTCTAAGGTTTCCACTGTAACCTGCTGGAAATTTGAACAAGAACATTCAAACCATGAATTCATGTATACATACGATCGTGTGGTGTCCCAAAGAAATTTAAATAAAAAAATATCCACTGCGTACCGCTGGTGATGGATTTGGGGAAGTCGAAGTTCCAACGCCTTGCCTGAGCGTGTCCACTTTTTGCTTCAACTCCTTGATATAATTGGATGCATCAACAATAATTGAAGCTTTGTTCAGCTGCCAAATCACAAAAACAACAACAAATGATGAATATTTTACATAAAAGATGGAACATGAGATCCAAGTAGAAAAATCAGCTAGCTAGGTTGACTTTTCTAATTACTATAAAAATTTGGATATCGTAAGCCTATAGCTAAAGGGAGTGTTTGATTATGTGGAGTTAATTACAGCATTGGAATTGGTGGCAGCCCGAAGTTGTTGCAATTGATGATAAAGAACTGCTTTCTTTCGGTCTCCGGAACTCATGCTTCTTCACACACCCTCTTCTTTGTTGCTCTGCTTTTTCTATTTCTTCTTGTTTCTTGTCTCTCTTGTCCTAGCCTCTCCTTCTTCTTACTGCGGAGGGCTTTTAAAGAGGGGATGTTTGCATGTGTGTGCCTCTACACATTCTCCCACCAAGAAGTTAAACCTTCTCACCGGTATATTTACTCAATTGACCCTTGCTTATTCAATTATCAACAGCAATTAGGAATGTTTAACTGGATTCATAATACGGTACATTGTTGCTTTCTTCCCCGTTGCTATGCATTGTTGTTCTTTCTCGGTTAACATACTTTGTTGTTTTTATATTATCCCAATAATATATAGGATTCTTGGGTGGAAGTTGGGATTAATGATTGGGTTAATAGCATATAGTATTAGAAAGAGGGATCATGCATGTGTATGCAATGTGATCGATCGAAGTAAGCACTAGAGAAGGAAATTGAGATTAAATATATAGGACAATTAGCTAGAGAGAAACATATATTCTGTTTGATATTTCTTATTGAAAAGGAGAATTCTCTTAATAAGGCAATGCTTCATATTAGTAATAATTATGAACACAACTTAGTTATATTTTTGGACAGTATTAATTAATCTCTCGTTCAGTAGAAATTATGAAGTAATACTATATCACCACGTCAGTTGTTGATACTCCTACTCAAAATCTACCATCTTAGAGAGTGATAGATTGATGTAAGACACACACACGCATATACCACTGAGTTATCAACTTTTGTCATCAACTGTTTGTTGGATTATACACAACATAAACATAAAGTTTGCAAGTAAAATTTGTTATTTGTCGGCTAATAATTAATCAAGGGCAATACATATCACCACAAGAATACTAGAAGAAATTAAGCACTGTTGATGTTAAGAAAGAAATTTAAGATAATATTTGCAATTCAAACAGAAAAATATATGCCATCTTAGAGATGACAGAATGATATTATATGTTTACTTGCTCGCCATCGAAACAAGGGGTTTAAGTTTTCCATTGAAATTTGTAAATCTATGGACTGCGGGAGGGACAGATAACATAGATTAATTTGAATCAAGTAATCCAGTTGCAGTGGCACTGGTTTAGTTATCAAGTGAGTAATTAAAGTAATAGAAATTGGAGTGACGTAGCTAGTGGAGAGGAGAGAGAGAGAGGGAGAGAGCAAAGGACAAAGACTGCGATAGAGAGAGAGAGAGAGAGAAGAGAAGAGAGTCCCGTGAGGGGAAGAGTTTTGGAGGGATTGACAGCTAAACAACCTTTGACGCTTCCTTCGCAGCTTCCGATGCCTCTCTCCCTCTCCCTACTTCTCATCACGTGCAGATTCCCTTCCTCCTCTACGCGTTTAATCACTGTGTGTTTAGATTAGAGCTTAAACTCAAACTTAATCACACCTTAATTGTATTCTAATTAGAGCCTAAAACCCTTTTTGCATTGCACGTGTCATGCATGCTTTCTCTTTGTTTATTTCTCAAGAGATTCCACTTCAATCATTCAAGCAGTGCCAATTAGTTTCCACTGCAGCAAATTAAAGCAATCCATATCAGGGTTTATCTGATATAACCCTAAATCCCAAGAAGTTCATATATAGCAAAGCTAAGTTAAGGCTATAGGTTTCAATTAAATTCGTTGCTCCAATATTTTCTGATCCAGTTTGCACACAAACAAGTGATCAAATACCCAACCAGCTATTCACATGTGTGCCTCTTTAATCATCACAACACAACAATTTAATCTACCAAGAACCTGCAGCATCATACACTCTGCAGCTCATCCTTGTCTCTTTACCCTTTTTCAATTTTTATTTTTCTTAGGGTTTTAACAATCTAGAGCTAAGATAGCTAGGATTTCTCTTCACTAAATCATTTTATACATAATTATTTAATCATACAAATATTTGATTTGATTTTTTATTTTTAATTGTGACAATCTTAGGAGATGGACCCATCATATACTGCATCATGTAAAGGAGCTTTGTTTGAAGAATAATCGGCATGCAGCACATGTTCGACTCCCTTGACTTATGTAATGATTAAGTGCTATGCTTGCAGTGAACTTGATGCACAGAAATTTGTTGTTTTCTGCATAGAAATTCCAATTCTCATTCTACAACTGGATAAAAGTGACACATAATTGGACAGCATTGGTCTTGGAAATTCCACAGCGGGTCTTCAGTCTCGTGTCAATTGAGCCTGACTTAAAGCTTATCAAACCAAATCATGCATAAACTTACAAATTTGTCAGCCAATTAATTTAAACAATGGATGCATCGAGAGAAGCTAAAATGAAACAAGATAAAAATTAAATTAATATTTTATGGGATGCATCACTATACAGTATTGTTGGGAAGAAGAGAATACATGCATCTTCAGGATACTGCTTGCCTCCTTTCCTGTAACGAACTACTCTTCTTTTCTGCGAATTACAATTTGATACATATGTAAAAATAATTCATCAAAAACACAAAAAAGGCTTCAACAACTTGAACCTAGCTCGTTAATATATGTATATACACATTACCAATCAATATTTCTCATTTACTTTATGTCCAACAGGGATGTCTTAATTATATGGAACTTAATTTTCAGCCACATACTAATGATTTTGTTAAACAGCAGACAAGTGGGAGTTCTGTGACTTGTGGGAATCCAGTTTACCATTTGATTGTTCTAAACACATGTTAACAGGACACCTAATTAATATTGAATTTACAGCAGATTAAGATACATGCACATACATATGCAAGAAGGCTTCAACTGTGATTAACCACCTGCAGCTTTTTGGCATACAACAAGCTGATATCTCTATATACCTGGAAGACTGGGTATATCTTATCCTTAGTAAACAATATAAAAGTATAAATACAAATTCTCTGGTGCCCTGCTGATTTGTGCACATTATTGGTAGGTTAAATTAGTTTTTACATGACATGAATGGTGAGAAGAGTACATTTTAAGAAGCATGATTGGATGTCCTATCAGACAATACACATATTAATACAAACAGTGCTAAATTTGGAAACGTGGCTCGTGAACAAACCCTATTTTTTTCTGGACAAACTTTTCCTGCAAATTGAGATTCCAATCTCTTGGACAAGTTAGGTGGCTAGCTGTTAGTGATCAATTAGAAAGCTTCAAAAATAAATTAACTCTATACACTGATAGCCCATTAACAACAAACTTAATGTTTTCATGGATTTTGCAGACCAAAGTTTCTTAGAGCTGCATGTACGGGGTGATTGAATTTGGATTCTCAAGCATAGATGTACGAAGGAAAAACATATATATATGTGTGTGTGTGTGTGTGTGTTACTTCCACAAATAATCATATCAGAAGGCCTAGTCAAAAGTTTGATTTGTATTCAAGAATCAAGGCCTAGTCCTAATTACTTACATCATCATTTGTTACCAGCTTCTTGCATGTGTGTATTGTGAGAGCTAGTACTAGCTACTAGCTTAGTTTGAAGCTCACACTACACCATGCATGCAAAGCAGTAACCTTCTTCAGTATTCTTTTTTCAATTAGAGTCGGCCATACCAAATCAAATTAATTAATAGTATCATAAGGCAAGTAGTTGCTAGAATCGGCCTTAAACTGTTTTACACTATCGATTACCATTTAATTGAATATTATTTGTATCATATTTGCTGACTAACTCTCTAATATAACTGGCTTCCACTAAATATAGGTGGAACTCACTTCTAATTGAGACATAATTAACAATATGATCCCGTAAATATGATACAAATAACAACTACACTATAATATATATAAATATATATATGTGTGTGTGTGTATAAGCTTGGGGCATGCACTGGGAACCAGGAAGACATATATGCATCCTGCATATACTTCTGTTGTGATGTGAAACTTGGCGACTTTGTGTTCACGGGCTAGGTTCTAGTTAGGAACCGGATCACCATTTCAAATATATTATAAAACTAGTTGTGTAGCTAGACAGAGAAATTTCGATAGGCACAAAATGTACTCCAATGAATTCTAGAACTCGTGGAGCTAGCTAGAGCATATTTTACTAGCAATTTTTGTCCCTTTTCCTCACATGTGGGATCGCCTGCAACGTTTCACACATATGAGAACAAAGCTAATGCATTATAACACCCAGATAAAGCATTCCCTAGCCTAGCTATCATGGACGACTTTTCTAAGACAAATTAATTCTTGACTTGGGGCCATGGACAGCTAGCTCAGATGTTTGGTTCCCCCACAAAATAGGAGCCAAGCCAATACCAATGTCTCTCTTCGAATTAAAGGAAAGCTGATGGCAAGTAATCGAGACATGACATCGCAATGTATGATTGAGTAGCAAACTAAAATGGTTTAGAGAAACCATGCATGAACTGTATAAGGTACATTTATTTTCAAAACCTAATTATGGTTCTTGACGCTAAGGTTTTAACTAATGGGCTCTTCTATCCCATCCATCACTAATCCCATACCATTAAGAAATTAAATGAACTAGGGTTGGGCATTTTAAACCGTAAAACGGTCAAATTTGTCGAATTAGACAAATCGATATGATTTTATCTAAATTTTATTTTTTTTAGTAATAAACCAGACTAAACCGATTGTTTGTTTAAGGATCGTATATATCTTCCCCCTTTTTTTTTTCTTTTTTTTTGAGTCATGATGATGAATTGTAGAAAGGTATCCTATATTTTTTATTGAATGATTGTTAATCTTGAAATTGGTTACCCCTGCCACTATTCTCAATTTCCTCATCCTCAAATCAAACCGGAGGATAGACGGATTAGTTAAACATATGGACAAACAGTGCCTTATATATTATTATATCCCATCCGGTCCCATCCCATGGAGGTTGTACTTGCTAAGTTTGGCTTAATTTAATTTAATTTTACAAGACGTGGCAAATCGGCTCATTGTCACTCGGAATATATCAATTGATTAGAAAAAAGAAATACCCTTGTTTGATTAAACTCTTTTAACTTTTTGGAACTTCTGATTCTGATGGCTATCAATGCTAGTGAAACTTTTTCTTTGGGTTAAACATAATCTTCATTAGACAAAAAAGATGATTCAAAAGGGGCAAATAAATTGGGATTGATGGGAATTCCACTTGGTATGATTTTAAAGATTTTAAACGATACACAGTTTAGTCCCATAATCCAAGCTCATCCAAATACAAAAGATAAAAGTTGCAACTGGGTCAACGAAAACAAAGAAGCCCAATTATAAAGTAACAATAAGATGAAAATGCAGTAATGAGTGGTTATAATGAGAAGTTCTTTCATACCCATCCGATCAATGAAATAAGTTCAACAATTTCATTATACAATTGGACAAATGCATGGAGAGAGCTTCTATGGCCACCCAGAAATGTTAGTGGAACACCCCATCCCACAATTTTATCAGACTACTCAGATTAAAAAACATGTTTAGTGGGCCTAATTGAACTACACTTCTCTAATTGAAATGAACTGGACACGGCCTAGTCCAAATCCAAGTCAGGACTCTGCAACCCAACCTCTTTGACGTGGGTTTCGAACAACGAAGACGAAGATGAGGGCGAGGTCCAGTGTCTATGTTCTTCTGCTTCGATTTTGCCTTCGCCTTCTTCTCGTCTTCTCTCTTGAACGATCCATGCTAGGACCAGACCTGGGTAATAGATAGGAAGCAGAGCAAGCAAAGAAAAAGATAAAAGAATTTAAACTTTCATTTGATAGCTGCCTCCTAAATGGAAGGTCAGTATCCTTAAATACAATGAAAATGGGCGACCTTTGTTGTATTAATAATTGCCACAAATCAATGCGCTAATCATCCAATTAAAAATACATGCAAGTGCATGAATTTATTGGAGTATAGATTTGTAAATACGGGATCGTCCCCATGAGGAATTAGAGGCTTAAACAAATATCTAGTTTGAGTACCTAAAGAACACTTATTTAATACAACACAAAGGTAAAATACAAATCAGATGCTAGAAATGAGTAAAGAAAAGTAAAAGAAATGAAACAAAACAAGAAACCAAAGCTAAACACAATCAGCATTTTGTATCACTCATGTATCACTACGTTATCATCACTGTATCACCTGTTTATCACCGAGGTATCACCAGTTTGACATAGAGGAATTTATCTAGACAACAATTTAACATATTTTCCAACTTCGATCTTTGTTCCGTTTTTTATTTGTAACTTTTGCAACCATTAATCCAAATTTTATGTTCTTTATATGGTTGGATGCAGCATGAAAAACTAAAGAGTCTAGTGTGTACCAAATATAAAAAACAATTACAAAAGTGTGCAAAATTCAGTGGAAAGAACACTCAAGATTTCAACACACACAAACAGGGGGGTTGATTCAAGTGACCTAATTCTAATGCTTAAATGTAACTGAACTCTAACTTTAACAAGATTAACAAATGTGATTATCAAAGTGTAACTTAATATGGTGACAAACACTAGGGTTTTCCTATAATCATGTTTATGGCCACTCAAGTTATGAATTCTAGATACATTGATGAAGATGTTCGCAATCAAGACCGGGTTTAGTAGCTCAAAACAGATTAATTCTCTCTAAGATAAGTAAAGTGCGTGTTAGTGCTACAATACTTGTGTTTCCTACACAATCAATCTATGTGTGTTCAGTACTTTGATTTAATCATATAAAGAAACCCATTAAGTTTGAAGAGAATATAACATCACAAGAACCCCTAATAGTATGGTGTTTACATTGGGCATTTAAGAAACCAATTCACATTATGCTCACTTAGAAAGGATTCAATCATTTGTTGCTAATTAGGAATTATATTCTTGGGTAACTTACACAACCTCTCAACTTTAGCTAGTTGCATACAACCTAAGGGGGTCATTTTAAGGAAGCAAACACATAAAATATTATTAATTTAGTGAAAATGAATTCATCAACAACATCTAGAAATCCAATAACTCAAGCATCAAAACAATAGAGTAATCATGTTTAGGGCTTTAACCTAAGCCCTAGTTATGGTGTTTAGCTCCTCATGCTTCTTACAAACACAAATGCAAAATATAGCTAGAAAGAGTTTACATATTTTGTGAAGGTGAAAGCACAAAAGCCTTCAATGGTGGAAGAGTTCTTCTCCTCCTTCGTAACCTCCTTACTTGGCTGTTACTCCTTGCTCTCCTATCTCTCTTTTTAGTTTCAGAAATTGCAAAAGTGTAGAATGTCGCCTCTGATTCTTCCCCCTTTGTTTCCTTCTCTTTTGCCAACTCATTCTTCAATATTAAACTCCACCTTTTACCTAAAGTCTTTGCAACATGCTCCACTTGTCTTCGCTTTCATCATTTCATTTTGGTTTTAATACATAAAGAGAGATTCTAATTTATTACCAATCTGGAATCAAATCTCTATAATGTCAATAATTGTTACCGAGAGGTGTGGTAACAATTAAAAGGGAGATGACACCAAGTAGGGGTAAAAGTTGACCCAAAACAGACTTCTAGAGTTAGG